GGGGAACCCTTAATTAATCCACCTAGTATAATTAGGTTCAATAAATTAATTGTTTGCTCACATAATGATTTCAAAGCAAGGCAATATTCACTTACCAAGTAGTTAATAGTGTATCCTCTGCATTATGTTCAGGAGTGACCACTGGTAATTTCTAAAGTAAGTAGACATCCTTTTCAAAACCCCTCATCAAGATTTCAAAATCGTCGAGGCAATGTTTGTTTTTTGGGATTGATAATGAAGTTTTCACATAAATGTTAGACGATGGTCATTATTGGTCTTGGTAAACTGACATCCTCTTCAAAACTTGCATCCATAGTGGGATTTAAATTAAATTAAATCTCGAAGTCAAAATTTCTAATTTTTAAGTATAAAGTAATCGACTAGGTACCAATTTTTGGGCGCTGTGATAGTGTTAACCCTTCTTCACGCGTAACTGACTCCCAAACTCAAAGTCAAAATAAAACGTTGGTTTTTGTAGACTCCCAACATTTCATAATCTTTTCAAAGAAAAACCTCATCGTTACAACTAGTTGGCTTTTCTCCCCGAAGAGCCGATTGCGACAGCAATAAAGTCCTTCGATACCGAATTTAAGATCCAGGAATTAACAAGATTATTAGACCTTATCCAAGCGTTGATCGATGTAGGGGAAGAAGCAGGTGGATCCGTCGATGAAACTGGTCTTGTTTTTCCGTTAAGAGAGTCATTAACATATAGCGCTTTTAATTGTTATAATTAATTTTGGTGAGAGGCTGTGTGATTAAGATCATCCATGGATTATTAGATTGATGGAGGTAGTAATGATTATTATGAGATTATTCATATATTATAGGATAAGGCCGAGAATTATTATTATTAGAGAAAATAACCTCAGTGACAAAAAATGCCTTATAATATACGATTTTGACCAATTTTTTTCGATTTGTCAAATTTTTCAACTCAGTTTCTGAATTCGCAATGCGAATATCTGGATTCGCAACGCGATTGTAAGATTCGCAACACAATTTTGAAAAATGTGCTGCGATAGTTAAAATGTGTTGCGATAGTTAAAATGTGTTGCGAGAGTTTGAAAAACGTGTTGTTGCGATAGTGAAAAAGTGTTGCGATAGTGAAAAATCCAAAATAAGTTTACATTTTAACTATTCAAAATTCACGTGGAGTTTGAAACAATAAAGAATGGGTTGCGATAGTGTAAAAGATTCCCAAACCATTTGTAAGATCTTAGTTTGAAACAATAAAGAATGTGTTGCGGTAGTGTAAAAGATTCACAAGTATTTGCAATGCTCAATCCCACATAGTATTGGAAACACTATTGGGAATGTGTATTTAAGGCTTGGATTTCCCACTTCCTTGTTGAGTGGAAGAGAACAAGGGGGACTCTCGCGCACCGCCGCCGCCGTCCCGTCTCGTCTCGGGTCGTGGTCGTGGTCGTGGACGTGGTTATACGTGTCTTTGACACGTCCGCGAGGATACTATCTTTTTAGAGAAATTTCTTAAGAAACAAATGCAATACCACCAGTCGTTGCGATAGTCATAATCGCGTTGCATTGCAATTTTGTATTATCGCATTACGATAGTCAGAATCGCGTTGCGATTTTGTATTATCGCGTTGCAATTTTGTATTATCGCGTTGCAATAGTCAGAATCGTGTTGCGATTTACATATTCGCATTGCGATTTTCTAAACTCGCAACGCAAATTTGGAAAATTACGATTTTAGAAAATCGCACTGCGATAGTCAAAATCGCGTTACGAATTTGGAAACTGATTTGCGATACTGGAGATCGTGTTGCGATTTAGAGATCACATTGCGATTTTGTTGGTCATTTTGACAAATAAAAAAAAAATTTGTCAAAATCTTATACTATAAGGCATTTTCAGTCACTGGAGTTATTTTCTCTTATTATTATTATCAGTATTAGCCATGACATGTTCCACTCTCTTTATTTTTATCAAATTGTTGGGTCACATTTATGTAATTATGGATATGATTGGATATTTTCAATGAAATCTGTTGTATGAAAATACATTATTAAAATAATATTCAAAATAAAAAAAGGGAATTAAAAATCGACTACATAAACGACTAAGCCGTCCATTAATAATAATAATAATAATAAGTTATCAAGGAGAGGCGGTTTCCCCCGTTATTTTAGTTGATGACCATTATTAGATATTTCCGGTTTCATTCTCAAATTTATCATTGGAAAATAAAACTCCACAAGGACAAAAATGACCATCTATTCTTATCGTTATTTTTTTCTGGGGTGGGGTGGTGGGGCAGGTGTCTAATTCCTAACGGTATCTGTCCACCAAGCAGCTTACCTTCCCTTTATTTTAGTGCCTCACTGTGTAAAACAAATAATTAAATTAAATTTTATCATACTTATTTATAAAAAATATTTTTATATAAAAAATATATAAAACGGATTGAATTTAATATATTCATTATTGTTCTTATATTATATAAGAGAATGTGGATTTCAACGTGTCTAAATATATAATATTTTTAATTTATAATAAAGATATCTAAATAATTTATTTATAATCTAAAAGTTATTTAGAATACTAATCAAATTTATGTTTTAATAATGAAATGATTTCTTATTTTAAAAAAATATTAATTAACATAAAAATCTGACCATAAACATTTTTAATAATAAAAAACAGGCTTGTAAATGAACTGAACGTTCAGCGAACCGTGCAGCGGGAAGTTCGTTTATTTATTAAATGAACGAACATGAACAAGATTTTGCGTTCGTTTAATTAAATGAACGAACATGAACAAAGGGCTCGTTCGTTCATTTACGTTCGTGAACGTTCGATTATATGTTCGTTTATGTTCGTTCATTTATGTTCGAGTAGAGCGCAAGTTGAATATGTTACGAAGATTATTGAAGTTGTTTAGATTTCAATAAATTGTTTTGTTGAATAAATTAACTTTAAGACTTTATTATGTTCATATAGCTTATTTATGATTTATGTATCTTTTTATCGTATTCGAACAAATTAACTCTAAAGTTGCAGGTTATATTAATGAATTTTAAGTTGTTATTCTTGTTATTTTTTTTACATTCGTTTGTTGTGTTCGAATAAGTTTTTTTTGTGTTTGTGTTATTCGTTTATGTTCGTTTATTGTGTTCATTTGTGTTCGTTTCGCTCGTGTTCGTTTATTATTTAAATGAACGAACATGAAGAAGTTATATTTCTTAATAAACGAACATGAACAAGTTATATTCCTTAATGAACAAACATGAACACAAAAATTTTATTCATTTATTTATTAAATAAACGAACATTAATATACATCCGTTCGTGTGCATTCGATTCGTTTACGGGCCTAAGGTGGAAAAGAAAGCTACATTTTTTTTATCTTTACCTCTGAATTCAACTCTACTTGCCCACAAAACGACAACTCTCCGTCACCGCCTGCTAAATACACACTTATTCCACCTAATTAAATAATTTCTCTTTAATTAAATATTACACTATTTAAAGTATAAATCTAGTTAAACAAGCACCTTAATGACAACTATTTAATTATTATCGACAACTGAATTATTTTTTATATAATAAAATTTTAAATTTTATAAGAAATAATATCTTTAATATCTCCGAATATTTCGTTTTTTTTTCTCTTAATTATAATTTGTTAATATATTTCGCTATTAAGTATTAACGGAATAATATACTAACAAATCATGGTATATAGTATATACAGACACTTTTAATATAAATATTAAATTCGATGAGAATGAATTTTTTTTTTGTAGTAATACTTTCCTTACAATTAAGTTAATACCAACAGAAATTTTCGAAATAAAAGTGACATAAATACAATGGATTTTCAATTCCATACGTTAAGTGTTAAAAGCAATTAATGTATATAATCCTATTAATCAGAGGTGGATCCATAAATATTTTTCGGGTGACTATACATATTAACAACTTAAATTTTTTAAATAGGATGGGTACAAGTAAAATTTTAGGGTGGATTATTGTCCGTAAAATAAGTAATTAATCGAATAAAAGTCAGATTTCAGGATGTGTACTAAAAATTTTAAGGTAGACACCATTAGTAAAATAAGTAACTAATCGAAGGAAATTCGAATTTCAAGGTGAACATATGTCGACTCTCACCAAGCTGTGGCTCTGGCACTGCTATTAGCATATACCATTTTTATTAAAAATAAATAGTGTATTATTTCTTTAATTGAACTAAAATTACTTTTTTTTTATATCGAGTATTAAGATATACTAAACAAGGCCCAAACAACGCCTAGATGCCGAAGTGAAAGAGTCTACATCTAATCCCTGATTTAAGGAAATAAATAATAATCTTCTTACTCCTTATTGTGTCAAGATTTTTTATTTAGTCTATCTAATTTGATGTGACATAAAATATTATTTTAATTCCATTAGATTGATAATATAATTAATTGTGATCGTTAAATTGATAACGCCGATTTTTTTTAAAAAAAATGTAAAACTTTAATTAACATATAAAATTTCTATTAATCAAAGAAGATTAACTGGATTTTTATATGATGGTGTATAATTCACATGACATCTCCTTAAAGACAATATCTAATGGTGTTATGATTATTATTTTTTGATTGAGCTAAAAATAATATATGTTTTAAATATTCTCAATTATTTGACAATCGACGCTTAATCATCATGCTACAGTCGTTGGTGCTCAAACCCTTAGTCGCTAGAAACAACAACGATTCCTTCAACCACAGAGCTAAGTTGATTCGTGTGTGTTATGAGTAATTCAAATTTATTAAAACGTTATTAGAATAGATAGATTAAGTTATATAAAACTAAAATAAAGAGATTAAATCATAAAATTCAATATAGTTGAGGGATTAGAATCATAATTAAACCCAATAATAACCCCTTGGTTCACACGAGACGTGTCGGTGAATTTGTATTTTCTGAATTTTGGGTTTAATTATCAACATATACATACATACCTTTGCAATGTCTGGGAAAATGAACATTTCAACAACTTAAAAAGTTCAAACACACGACACACACAAACAGGAGCCTGCCATCTCTAAAACTTTTCCTTTCCTTGCTTTCATACTTCTTCGTCCCCAGTTTTTACAATAAAAAAAACAAACCCAGAGCTTAGAAACATTGGATTTCTGGCGATGGAAAATGGAAGGGGGGTTGTCGGTTCGAGGAAGTGTTCGGAGAGGCCGTACAAAGGGATAAGGATGAGGAAGTGGGGGAAATGGGTGGCTGAGATTAGGGAACCCAATAAACGGTCCAGGATTTGGTTAGGCTCATATGCCACCCCTGTTGCGGCTGCCAGAGCTTACGACACGGCGGTTTTTTACCTGCGCGGGCCGTCTGCTAGGCTGAATTTTCCCGATCTTTTGGTGGGAGAGAAACTCGGCGGCGATTTATCGGCCGCTTTTATAAGGAAGAAAGCGATTGAAGTTGGTGCTAGAGTCGATGCTCTCGAGGCAGCTCATCATCTTCATCCTCGTCACGGTCATAATTACAATCTTAATCCAAATTACAATCGTGGTTATGGCGAAAAGATGAAGCCAAGTGACCGGTTTTTACGGCGGGTTGACTTGAACAAGGTGCCCGACCCGGAGGACTCCGACGGTGAACGGGAAAGCAAGTAGAAGGAAAAACAAGTCGATCCCTCCATCATGCCCCTTCAATTATTACGATTACAAAACCACTATTTTGTTGGTCCTGTCTTTGGGCTGAATAAGGGAGGCAAGCTGCTAACATGAACCGCCGGCAGTAGATAATGCGCGCCGTATAGGAGGACGTAAGGTAAGTTTAAGGAAATGATGGCTGAAGAAATGATGAAGCCTTTGTATTATTATTGTCCAGTTAATGAAAAATCATTGGTTTTTCCAATCATAATCTCTCTTTTTACTGCTTTCTTTCACGGTCAAGTCTTAAACCTAAATAGAAAGAAATATAATCTTAATTACGTATCGAAAATGAGCGGAAGTTTGGGGGGGGGACAGGGAGTGGCCTACACATCCCAGCAGTTGGATCAAAAGGGGCGGGCGGGGGTAACTTGTAAACTTATTAACTACTAAAGTGATAAGATTTTTGAGTCTGTGGAAGTGGGTCACCATTAATCAAAGCTCGGGGATGGGGCGGCCCTGGATGATGGTGTTTCCTCCAACCTGATCCTGCTAACCCTTTTTTGTGTCTACTTGGAATTTTTAATTGATGCTGTTTAGGGTTCATCTAGAAGCCATCCGGATTTAGTACTTGATAATATTTGGGACTATGGGGTGGAAATTTAAGTTTGGTTTGGTTTTTTGACAACTAATCTCTCTTAAAAACATTTAAGTTCTCTTAAAAGTTTGTGTTGTCCACACTAAAACCATTGATATGTCATGCATGAAGTTTGTTCTTTGTTTTAAAATATTTTCCTGAGAGATATATATATAAATATATCTCAAATAAGAAATGAAAATTTGGACTTAATCCAGTTCTTCTAATACTTTAATCTAAAAATTAAGCACAATCGCCGGCTCTCCCTAACAATGCAGAGAACAAAGTTAACAACAGAGGAAAAACACCAATATGACGATTTTTTTTATAAAAAAAGGGCGACTTGTTTTTCTTATTGGGTGTTTAGTTAACAACTTGCATACCCCCATTGGCCAGTGCCCAACTTTTTTAATTTCCAAAAGAGGACAGGACATAAACTCTTTCATTGCACCGACCCACAATTAGCGGAAATGAAATGAAAAGCATATTGCTTGTTTAACACTTAACAGCGATGTAAATTCTAAAATAATTAATGCTTCCCCAATTCGCCTCTTTCGTGCGGATGCTATTGCTATTGCTATAACAATTTCCACCCTATCTATGACCTCTAGGTGCCTATCATCCACAACGCGTGCAGGTCACAACAGATATTTGCGTTAGAAAACAGTTGTACAACAACATCCAAATGATCACCTCCCCCATTTTTTTCCACATTTTCACACACTTTCTTTCTTTGTGATTTTCCAGTTAGTTTTCTCTCTGTATGTTACTCTACCAGTTTTCGATTCAATCCCCCCACCAGTGGCGGATTCTCTATGTTCACAGAATCTATAGCCCATGTCTAAATCACAAACATAAATATCAAATGCAAATGCGGATGTTTTAAAATAAGTTTAAGTAACATATTAGCTTAAAAACATTAACAACAATTTCTGCTTAACTACTGCCCTCCCTTCCCAATGTGTCAATCCTGGTATGCCTATAATAATGTTAAAAATGTAAATTATATTATACAAATGCAAGGAGAAATTTGACCAAATAAAGCACGTAATCACCCTTTTTCCGAACTTTTCTTTGATAAATGGAGAAAGGTTTCCAAGCGCCGCCCTATCCAACGCCTAAAATATCTCAAAATGATAAGTTTCTTGAGGCTTGGGTTAAGCTTTTCCTTCAATTTCACGCTTTATTTTAAGGGCAGCTCCAACCACATTCCCTCTTGTGATGATACCCACCTTTAGAAAAAGAACAGAGAGCTTAGCAAACGCAAGAGGAAACCATAATAAACAAATCTGGTTAAAATCAAAGGGAATTTCAAAAAAAAAAATTGCTTCTGGACTTACCAGCTTACCCTCTACATCAACAACCGGAAGTCGCCGATATTTTGTCTCGAGCAATAATCTGAATTTTTTTTATAAACCCATTAATTTACACTTTCCTATTTCACAATGCATGACCACTTATCGGGATGAGATCAAGTGATGGGATAATACGAGCTAAAATAATGATTTTGAATTTGAATCTAGACACTCTCCAAGTGTGCCAAAATATAAAAAGACAAGCATAGATTATCAAAGTAATTAATCAAAGTATGGAAAACCAAAGGTTACATAAGTTCGACAGACCTAGCAGCATCCTCGAGGTTAGTTGTCTCACGTACAACTAATGGAGCCGGTGTCATCAAATCTCCAACCACCTGGCCGTTCGTTTTGCTGAGTAACTTCTGTACCTCATTGAAAATCTGCAAAGTTAAGGAATCAGCAGTCAAAATTAAACCATAAACACAGCTGAAGTCAATTGCAGTAAATTCAAATAGACGCAAGGTATGCAACCTTCGAAGTTCACAATCTAGTTTATTTAAGTAATGCCAAAATGCAAAACCTCCAGTTTGCTCCACCACATTGCTATGTATCACTAAAAGCACAGAGCATCGTCTAAGTTTCCACTTATCTTCTCCTGATTCAAAAAGGCACATCTTGTTTTTAAAAAAATATCATCGTTTGCCAAAAATTATTGTATCCTTTTCTCAAACTACCATCATAGCATTAGAAAACAAATACATTAGGTAAGCAGACTCAGATATGCCCATTGTAGAAAGGGAAAATATCTGTGCTCGTCTATAAGACTCGGAAAGTCCAGATTCCAGAAAATGAAAACTATAGAACTATGTGAAAGACGGCGGCTTCTGCAAAAGAAAGATGCATTTATATCAAGAAGATAGAAAATTATTGCTTACTTTCCAAGTGCTATCAACTTCAGGAAACAAGACATTCTCAGTCCGCTGCCCTGATTGAAAGAACAATACATATGAATCGTCTATCATCAAATGAACATACCCCAAATTCATGGAAAATTTCCATCAAGGAACACAGAGACTCTTTATCAAATTAAAGAAACTGGTTTATAGCAATCAATACCCATTCCGCTTTCTATTAGCCTAGAAAGGCTGCCATAGAAAAACTAGCATCTCAGATTAATACGAACTTGTTCACACTAAAACGACAAGGGAAGTGATAAAGATTCAAAGTTCAAATTAGACTGCAGTTACTAATATAGATATTTTAGAAGGAAAAAAAGAGGGGTCTGCTTCAAGGAAAACTTTAGATAACTAGGATAAACATAGTTATGAATTGAATAACATGAACATACCCCCGATTCATGACAAATTTCCACAAAAGAACACAGTGCAAATAAATCAAATTAAAGAAACTCATTTATAGCAATCAATACCTAGACAGGAAGCCATATAAGAACTAGCATCTCAGCTTAATACAAACTTGTTCACAGTAAAACCACGAAGGAAGTGATAAAAATCCTATGTTCAAATTAGAATGCAGTTGTTACTTGTTACTAGCATAGAGAATTCAGAAGCAAAAAAAGGGGGTCTGCTTCTAGGAGAAATGTACATAACTATGTTGGATTGACATATAGCATATAATACCAAATTGACAACAAATATGAAAGCCAAAGTAAAATTTGTTAGATAATTTACCAGATATGGAGTCCAATGCTAGCAAGTCATAATCAGAAACAAGTCCAACCTGAAGCAGCAAAAAACATGATCCCATTATACCATAAGTAAAAGCTAAAATTTACTAGGTCAAAAAAGATAAGACAATTTCGCAAACCAAATAAACAAAACCGAAATAGTGAAATTGACTGCAGTGTAAAGCATGGTGGAAAACTTTGCAAAAAGAAGGCACCCAAATGCTGACACTTGAGACAAGGTCTTCACGAAACGAGCTCGCACAGTTGCAACAATCAATTGAAATGGAATGTAGAAGCAAGAATGAATTTATATACAATGGAAGCGTGCCCAAAACCAGAAAGTCATCATGTGGCCAGAACAATCTTTCCTTCACCCACCTCGCCTTAAAGTCTTGAGAATGGAGAAAGGAACATAGACTCAATTGGCCACTACTTCACCAAGATATTTGCTTAAACTTAATGAGTCATGACTATCAATCAAAGTCCTTAAGAATAGCATTCTACCCTTCATAGAATAGGTCTAACATCTTATCCAACAACACTCACTTTAGGGACATTGGTCTCGTTGGACAATGCAAATGCTAAGATTCCACTTTTCTTGAAATGTCATGAAACCATGACAGAAAAACTTTTAGAGGTTTGGCACCAAAAGTTAGAAAAAGAAAAGTAAACGAATAGTTATAAGTTATAACCTCACAACAAAATTTAGGGGGAAAGATGACATACCAATTTCCAATCATCATCAATAACAGGAAAACCAGCGATTCTGTGTTCAACAAGAGCTTCCAATGCTATTGGTGTTGGCACAAGATCAATAAATTAGAGCCTTCTTTTAAATACACACAAAAAACATACACAAGACATTATAAGATATAAGCTAAGCAAAAACAAGTACCTTCATCAACGGTTGTTGTTGGCTTTACCACATGTAAATCCTCTTTTCTCGTCATAAAATCCCCAACTGTATATACTCCAACTCTTGGCTGCATACACACAAAACAAACAGAAACGTTCATACATATAACATGAGTAAAGTTCAAAAACCATATAAGTTCCATCTTCCAAATTACTGATCTATATAGCAATTTTCCTCCCGAATCATGTATGTCGTATGTCATGGTTAAATTGGTTGAGCATGACTAATATACATATATATATTGATGTAATCTTATTTGCCTGAAGTATTTGACATTGCACGACTATATTTGAGACGCATGTAGATATACACACACAGACACAAAAACTTTTACACACAAAACAACTACAGACTATATTCAGATAAAAATAAATAAATGCAAGAGATGCTCGAAGAACTAATTACTGTCTTTGCATCCTAAATCGCTGAAACTTACCACCTATAACAGTAAATCACCGAAAGTGGAAAGATCTAACCATAAACAAGCCATCAATTTTCAAATAAAAGTAAATTAAATAGCAAAATTCCATGCATGTAAAAGATAACTCTCTTTAAGATGTTTAGACTCTAAATCTGTTCTAAAACTAGCATTAATTTCAGCTAAACAACAAAATTCCAGGCATGTAAAAGAGAACCCTTTAAGATGTTTAGGCTATAAATCAGTTGTAAGATTAGTATTAATTTCAGCTAATAAGCATCCACACATTAAGAAGAAATACAAATATAGAAATCGAATGGATAAGGTAACAAACCGAAACAGAATTGGCGGTGAGAGTGTCGCTAGCAGCAACAACGGAAGCGAAAGACCTGCGAGAGCCAAAGCCAGCGCTGACGGTTGATAAGGGAAAGAGGAGGGCGTGGGCGGGGCGGAAGACGAGCTGGCAAGGCATGTGGTGAATGGAGACGGTAGAAGTCGAGGTGGCGCGTAGGCGAGTGAGAGACAGGGATTTGGTACGGAGAATTGAATCCATATTTTATCGGCTCCTTTCCCTTCTGTGGGCGGTGGCGTTGGATATTTTTTTGAGTGAGGAAATGAAGGGAAGTACGAAGAAGAGGGCCAAAAAGAGGAGTGATAATATCGTTGGGAGGTGGAGATATAGTGATTAGCGAAGCTAACAACCTTGAAAATTTTGAAGCCAAAACCATTACATTTTGAAGCGCGTGCACTTCACAAGATATTCTTCTTTTTGTTAAGGTTAAACATACCCAAACTATATATTAAAAAAACATACTCAAACTACAATTAACAATATTTTTGTGAAAATTTTGTATAACTATTCAAAACAAAAATAATTATACGAATTAGGTAAATCAGACACCTACTATCCTTTTATTGAGTCTGCGTCTTAACAATGAATTGTCGAATTCAAGAGTCGATTACAATCAAGGAAGGATAAGCACCTCGAATTGCCCTTTTGATACCACACGATCACCAGGTTGTCTTAATTGCAAAAGTTATAAGTTTAAATAAAAAATTAGAGTCGACCAAAATTATTTACTTTTGACTAACTTTGAAATTTAATTAGATCCCCTTGAAAGAATAAATTAATGTTAATAATAATAAGATAAAAAATTATGGTTGTCCCTTGTTCCCATATGTAATGGGGTAAGGGGGAGGTAAGATAGTAGGCTACCCCCAACACTAGATTGAGAGCAACTTCCGTAGGAGACCTCAGAATTATGAAATGCCCTCCATGGGACTCGATCCCACGACCTCAAGGTTAAGAACCTTGTGCTCTACCAACTGAGCTAGATGGTCATTTCAATAATAAGATAAAAAATGAAAACTACAAAACAAGGAAAAAAGGTTAGGTTACCTATTTATATATAAATAAGCAAAATAAAAAGGATTAAATTGAAAAAAAATGAAATTTAAGGGTTAAATTGAAACAGAGGATGAAAATGAATTATATATTGAAAGTCCAAGGACTGGGTGCATAATTTAAGAAAGTGCTAATTGCACTCCAATCTTTGGTAAATAAATGCCCATAAGTACCTCTTTTTATTTCATTTCTCTCATTTTCTCAAAAACCATAGACTGAAACGTTTGAGGTAATAGTTCATAAACTACGTGTCAAATGTAGTATTTACTGTTAAGTTTTCATAAAAAATGAAAATGATTGAGAAATGAAATTAGACATCATGACATACCCATGCGCACAAGTAATTGTCATTCATCATTCTTCTTAAATTTTCCATTTTAGTTTACGACAATATGTCTTATACAATATCAATGTTAGACATGGGTGGTTCCCACATTGGACCCAAAGAGTCCATGCTGCTTTGATCCTAGCTCCACGGTATGAAATAATGCAGATTTTTCCCTCGTAACAACATGTAAGCGTAAGTTTATGAGGAAAAAGGCCAATAATCTGTATCTTCACCTTCAACAAGGGAAAAAGTAACTGGAAGAATATTGTGATTACCATATTGGGCAACGAACAATAGTTAAACTTGCTTGTATTTTCCATACAAGAATGTGCCATCAATTTGGACCACGGGCTTCCAAGTATTTCACAATATTAATGCACTGTGGGTAAGTCCAAAAAAGTCGGTAGAATTGATATCGATCGTGAAGCACTCGACCATTGTGGTATGCATGGTAGGTCTAAAAGTTGATTATTATCCCAGGATTCAGTCTGCGCACTAACTTGGTAGTTTGTTGTAAGATGAATCCTACTCGCCATGAAGTTTTTTAATGGCATTCTACTTTTCCTTCATACTTTCTTGTAGGAGACGATGTACCCATATTCAGACTGTATAGGTAAAATCAACACCGCAATAGTTATATGGGAGCCTGCTTTGACCATGGGCATTATGGCTTGCAGGTAATATCGAAGTCCAAATTGGGATAGTCCTAGTTGATCCCTATAGCACAGTATGTGTGAAGACCGTTGTATATTGTTAGTTCTCATATGTTGTTTTTCCTCTTCCTTTTCGATACACGAACCATCCAGTTGTATCCGTTATCACATTGGACATAGTGACATACATACTTTTCGGTGGTGGATCGGTTTACTCTAGAGTGAACAAAATTACAAATGTTGTAATTCTTAATTGCAATCATCGTTTCTTCCTTGGATGAAAACTTCATTCCAGTATATAACTCACCATCATTGACTGATGAGTTAAATCCGTAATAAATGACACTAGGCATATCCGTAAATTCTGGCTCGTATATTGCATCTAGTCGGCTTCATATATGTGTGTTGGGGTTTCAGTATGTACTGTATTTTGTGTGAACTTTATCTACATCATCATCATTGGAGTCCATGTTGAACTACAATGATTTTTGGCTCAACGAATAGTCCAGTCTCAACGCCATCCGCACCTGGCTTACGAAAAGGTTCTTCTGGTGTAGATGAGGGTTCCTCCATTATGTCGATATTTAGGTCAAACAAGCTAGTAGTTGAATGCCTTCCCCTTGAACTTGAAGTCATCGTATCATACGAGTTTTGAATTGAGTGTTGTGTCATAAGCATCTTCATATCGAGGTCGAATAAGCTCGTAGTTGAATGTCTCCCTCTGGAACTTAAAGACATCGTGTCAAATGAGTATTGAATAAATTACTGTGTCGAGGGCATCTCCATATTCAGGTCAAATAAATTGGCAGATGAATGTCTTCCCTTGAATTTGAAGTGATGTTGTCATATGAATTGTTCGTGGAGTCACCTCGGTACAGATCATAACAAGTTGTTGATGACTGTCTCCCCATTGAACTTGATGGAATGGTATTAAGATGCTGATTTGCCATTAACTAGGTAAAATCATTACACATTACTTGAGTTGGGCTGTCAACTTGATAATCTTGTTGAGCTAGCCCATACTTAGAGCATAATGACATGCCACGAACTGAATGTAGCGTACATTTGTGTAACAGTGTCTGAATTTTGATTATAAGCATAAATCATCATAGCAACATCGTCATATTTGGAGAGTACAAATGATGTATAAGTTAACGAAAATAGTGCAGTCGGAAATCTGTATTAAGTGAGGACAATCTTTTAGTACTCCCAATATGAACATTCTTTGAAATTTTAGTGATCAACTCCTCAAGAGTGACATTTCTCTAGAAGGATAATGTGACATAATGATTTGATACGATTACAAAGCTGATTTCATCTTCCCAAATTTCTCCATCATAGTAAACAATAACTGAAATACGCCTCATTTTGAGAGTTTGAAATATTGAGAGTCTTATATATGCAAACAAAATTATTGTTTCTAATATACGATCATTCTCCTAATTAAATAAATAGCATATGAATTAAAATATAAATTAATACAAAAAATTAAAAAATATTCACAATAATTTAAATAACACAATTTAATATTGTTACAGTATCGTTAAAATATCTCAAGATATGATCTCGTCTTTCATTTTACAATCGCAAAAAGTAATAAAAATAACTAGTACAATAAAATTTGATCAAATAATTAAATATAAAATAATAAAAAATAGTTTTACGTAGTTTTACTTTCTAAAAATAATAACGAAATCTACTTAGCTTGATAGAGGGAATTGATAGAAGGAAAAATATAAAAGTAGTTTTGGTGCGGTTTGATATTTGGATTCGGAGAGGTATTTATAGGGGGAGGGGTATAGGTGATTGGTCGGGATAGATGAGGGTAATAATGGGAGGTGCATCTCATGATTCGCGCCTCCCTGATATGTCAGAAAATCTCACGAAAGCGCGCTTCATGAGTTACACCTTTCCAACGTGACGTTAGCTCGGACAGAACCCCGAGAAGACACGCTTCCTAATCCACACCTTCCATCCACCTGTCAAAAAAGATGCTAGATCGATAATATTTAGAAAAATAATGTCTGACATGTAATTATTTATTGTTAGGGTTATTTTTGGGTAAAAACGCCTTTCTTATTTCTCTTCTTGGCTTTTTATAACAAAAAAAAATGCGATAAAGTAGTAAACGGCAAATTGAATTATAAAATTCTTTAGTTACCTAAGTGATAACAAGTCATACCTTTAAGGGCCAATATAATATTTAACCCAAAAAATCTGAATTAATATCCTAGTTTTCTAAGTCTCATCACTTTTCCCACAGTTCACTTTTCTTGCTTGTCACTCTCTCTCTCTCTCCCCCTTTATGTTGCTTTAGTTTTTTCTCATCTTCTTCATTGTTCCACTCAATACTGTCGGTGGAAGTCCCAACATCCCACGTTTCATTTTAATTCACACTTCCCCTGATTTCATCTCTCTGAAATTTAGGAGTTCAAAGAGTTTTTTCTTTTGTCCTTTTGGTTTTATCCTTTGATGATCCATTCATTGTTGGAAACTACCACTCCATTCATCATCAAAGGTAAAATACATTCAACTTTCCAGTATTTTTTAAAGATTTTGCATCAAGGCTTTGTTCTAGTAAGGTAGTGATGTTCATTTCTTTTTCTAGCCAGAAAAGTTCATTTCTTTTGGCTTTAATTTCACAATGTTTGCACGTTTTGCTTGATTAAGATCGCATTTTACTTCGTGTTTTTTACTTTAAAAATTATCGGTTTCTGGAAGTAGCTAGCAAGAACATTATAAATGCAATAATGTTGTTTTGGATGAACACTGTACTGATTTGTTGTGTTGTCATTGTGATTTAAATGCAGATGTTTTAACTTTAGAAATATTTGAATTATTGAAACTGGGATTGGTGAAACAATGGACCAAAAAATCTGGCTATGGAGGAAAAAATCTACAGAGAAGACCAGTCTTTCTACTGACAAACAAAACATTTCCCAGAATGACAACGGAGAAGAGGTAAAGTCAAGAATGTTTGATTATTTTCAATAAACTTTCTCAGAAAATTCTTTGCCAAAGTTTGTCATTTTAACCCAATGTTGATTGATGCTTTAATTGGGATTTTCTTCAAGTTAAACTTAGTAAGCTTTATTCTGGGTTGGCAAGTAATTTCTGGGAAGCTTTTTACTTTGGGATAATATTTATTACAATGAAGTTCGATTGTTGTTTTTGGTTTTCACATATTTCTCCTATATACAGACTCTTGTGACTGATAAAAGAGAACTAGAGAATGAGCTAAATAAATTAAATCACAAGCTCGCCTCTGCACTTTCCGACTGTAGTTACAAAGATGAACTTGTGAAGAAACATGAAAATACGACACTGCAAGCTACTGCAGGTATATAATATATATACACACACACACACACACATTATAGTTGCCTTTTTGTCAATGTTGGAGATTTTTTTTCAATGAATGAATTATATGCAGGAAGGGAGAAGGCGGAATCGATAGCAGCTTCTTTAACGCAAGAACTAGATGAAGCTTTGCAGCTGAGAGTTGCAAGTGAAGAAAGGGTGACCCATTTAGATGCAGCTCTCAAGGAATGCATGCGGCAGCTGCGGTTTGTTCGACAAGAGCAGGAGCAAAGGATTCACGAAGCTGTGATGAATGCCTCAAAAGATTTTGAGAATTCAAAGAAGAATTTGGAGGAGCAGTTGGCTGAGACTAGGAAAAGGGTTACCAAATTAGGTGTTGAGAATACTAATATTAGCAAGGCTCTCTTGGCGAAGGAAAACGTTATTGATGATTTAAACAAGCAAAGGGCTCGGATCGAGACTGATTTGAGTGCACTATTGAAAAGATTAGAGTCCACAGAGAAAGATAATGCTGCTTTGAAATATGAGGTTCGAGTGCTTGAGAAAGAACTTGAGATCTGGAATGAAGAAAGAGAATTCAATCGCCGAACAGCAGAAGCATCACACAAGCAACATTTAGAAAGTGTGAAGAAAATAGCTAAGCTCGAATCAGAATGTCAACGGCTGCATGTCCTAGTCTGTAAATGGTTGCCAGGTCCTGATGCTTTGGCTAAGATGAAAAACGAAGTTGGGATGCTGGGAAAGGGCTCAATTGAAATGAGGAGAAAATTAAATCAAAGTCCTACCAGTCTAGGGGTTGATTTCACATTTGACAATTATTCGGACAGCCCAAGCAAGAGGGTTAATACCCTAACTAAGCAGTTGTGTGCAATTGAAGAAGAAAATATGGCTCTCAAGGAAGCCCTTAATAACAAAACCAGTGAACTTCAATTCTCAAGAGCCATGTATGCCCGTGCTGCTTCCAAATTATCGGAGGTTGAATCACGGCTTGAAGAATCCTCCAAAAGTCTGTCGAACAATGAGTCGACCAGGAACAGCATCTTGTTGTCATCAATGTCTGATGTTGGCATAGATGATAAAGCTAGCTGTGCAGAATCCTGGGCTTCTGCTTTAATTTCAGAGCTTGGGCATTTCAGGAATGAAAAAATAAGGAAGTCGTCGTCATGCAAAACTGTTGCGTCCTCGGAAATAAATCTGATGTATGATTTTGTTGAGATGGAGAAATTAGCTTTAGTCTCAGTTGATGAACTGCCGGGAAGTTCTCATGTTTATTCAGGTGAAGCTAGTGGGACCCTGGGACCGTTACAAACTGGACTGAATGGAAATGCCTTGGAGGTAATGTGTAAGGAGATGGTCCTTGTTCCTGACAATCAGGATGACCATAGCATGTTGAACAATGAAATGAAGTCCAAAAGTCCGTTGGTTAGCAAAGTTCCTGGTCCACTTCAGGATATACCAAAAGCGAACTTGGAGCAAACCAATGCAACTCAAAGAAACACGGATGAAATTCTTGAGGATATTAGAAGAGGTTTGGCTTGCATGGGCTATCCGAACGCTGCTGAATCTTTTGACGAAAAGGAGGGTTTGGACCGTCATAATTCCTATGATCCATCTTGTATTAGCAGCTACATGTCATGGAAACCATTGAATGGTTCTTCAATATCGGATTCATGTAATGAGGATGCTGATGTTAACATTTGCTCAGAAGAGGCGAGCAACCAGCTGTTGCATCCTGATTTGAATAAATCAATTTGCAGGATAATTGAGCTTATCGAAGGGATCAGCTTACCACCACCAGAATATAATATCCCTGATAAGAATTCTTTCCCATATAAGCACACGGAAACACCTTCAGGCTATGTGTTTCGTGTTTTCCAATGGAAAACTTCTGAAATCGGTGCTGTTTTACAGGAATTTGTGCAGGCTTGTTATGACTTATTGAATGGAAAGACAGACATCATCAAATTTACCCAAGAATTAACTTCGGGTTTGGACTGGATCATTAACCATTGCTTTTCTTTTCAAGATGTTTGGAGCATGAGGGATGCAATTAAGAATCACTTTGACTGGGATGAATCTGAAAGCGATAGTGAAGTGGAAGGTGTAATAGTTGATCAATTTACACAGCCCGGAAAATTCAACATTGCTGCTCTGTATGACAATGAAGAGCTTAATATGAGAGAGGAAAAAATAAAAGCAAGATATGAGTTGGTTAACGAAGAAGCCACAAAGCAACACCTCGAAGATAAGCTACAGTCAACTATGAATAGGAGCAACTCGCTGATAAATCAACTTGAGGAATCTGAGAAAGCCATTGAAAAGTTGCAGGTGGAGTTGGATACATTGAGAAAAGCTGAGGAAATGGTTGAAGTGAAAGTTGAAAAACAGATATGGACTAATGAAATCTATGATAACCCGCTTTGCTTGACCAAATATAAAATAGATGAAGATTGTCAAAATTTTCCTTCAGAAGACCTGGAACCAAAGATTAATAATAGCTGCCATGAAAAATTCGAGACCACGGGCCTAGACACGTAATATCAATTTTGCTTTTTTGAACCTAATATTGTAGTCATCACAGTCGATTTTGTTTGCAGTGTTGAGAGTTTTATGGAACTTATGTTTTCTTCCCTTCACAGCGTGACAGAAAAGGAGCTACCAAAGCCTGAAATCATGCTGGAGGGAAATCAGTTTCGAACTGTAAGTTCATATCTTGATGTTATTTGTGGATAACGATTAGATTAATTCATTCTTTACATATAACATGTGAAATGCATTAACACTCGATCAATCTGCCAGGACCAGGAGATTACAATTGCTTCGGAAAAGTTGGCCGAGTGCCAAGAGACTATTTTAAACTTGGGAAAGAAGTTGAAGGCATTGGCATCTCCGAAGGAAGCAGCCCTTTTCGAGAACGTTATCTCCGCTAAAACCGAGACCATAACTCCGATGACTTTAATGACTATTCCAACTCCACCAAGGAAGAAGTTGATTAGTCGAAGACCCTCTCTATTAGATCAGATGATAATTGAAGATCAGGCCAAAGTAAAAGGCAATCCCAGTTCTTTCATCTCTAGGGCGGCGCTATTGCTATCGCCTACGGACGGTACCCTCATTTTAGATGGAAATAAACAACATGAAGAAAACGCAACGGTTAAATCTTTAGCAATTGTCCCTAGCAGAAAACAAGGTGGGAGTTTATGGAAAAAGCTTTTCCGGAGAAAGGGCTTTGGATGCTGAGGAGTTGAACTATCAATCTCATGAATCAATTGGATGGTACGAACACGACACATCCGAGACCGACCCGAAACTTGGATCAATGTGTTATAGTTTGACAAGGGAATTTATACATAATGGGTCTGTCTTGTAATGCCTAAACCCAGTGAGGTATTTTGGAAAATGCAAATGGAGTGATATTACTAAAAAGTTGAAGGCCATTTGTGGTTTGTTTAAGGTATATTCTTTACCTTTCATCTTCTTCTCCAACAAACTAAAGCAATATCATTTATAATAGTTTTGGCCTAATAAATGATGCAAAAACATCTAAATCCCAAGGATGAAAAATCCAGGCTTCGTCACTGGGACAAAACAAACTCACAGAATTTCAAACACTGATTGATAGCTTGAATGCATGTCCCTCGGCAGAGGCAACCTACCCCACTACTTGATGGCACTGCCTCTATAACCTTCAAAGTAGGGCAGTCCCTAATTTTAAAAAGGGTAAAGTTAACAAATGGGTACTAAACTATCTTAAAATATCTCTTTTAGTCACTGAATTTTTAAGAATTATAAAGTGGACATCTTTTTTTGTTAACTACTGTTTTGGTCGGTGCAGAAACTTCAGCGAGTTGATGACATATTGGAAGGGAGAAAGGATAAAGGAAAAACATTAGACTTTCATTTCAGATAGTTGTTTTAAGCTCTCTTTGAAAAACTGAATCTTCGGAATAGAGCACGCAGCTGAGATATATATGCAGTATTTTGAAATATAGGTTTTTTTATAAGAATACTTGAAGATGAAATCACAAAAAAAAGAGAAGTGCATATGAATGTGTGTAATGTGTTTATAAAGGTCTGGATTTGGTGAATGGGAACTTTGTTGCGATTAAACAGTTAATGATAGCTAAAAACATAATATTTATTTTATAATAATATTTATAATTTTTAAAAAATTAATATTAAAAAAGAGTTTATTTATATTTGAGTGACTACTTGTATTTTTTTTTGGGCTAAAGTGTGTAGATTAAAAGAAAATCATACATAGGAAGTATCTTACGTGCTTCATTAAAAACCTCTCAAGCTTAAATGGAGGAAAAGAGTACACACAAATCACTTAGAGCAGCAAGAGTCAACACTAAAATACAAAGGGGACGGAAAAACACACAAGTCAACCTACTGAGTCAAGTTCATCATAATGCACTAAATCATTCACTTTCACCGGGGCAGATGTTGAACTTATATTTTGATATAACAAATATTTGTAAAATTGATTTTGGACTTAATCAAATATTTTAAAATAATTCAAAGTCCAAAATAACTTAAAAATACATGTGTTCTTAATTACTTTATATATATGAAATATTTTTGAGTTAATTAAAATATGTTTAAAGTGTTTAAAATGTGTTTAAAGCTTTTTAAATATGAAAAATCCTATTCAATCACTATTTGACAATGTTCATGACACGGGTACCATTCATAGTTTGGAAACTTTGTAAGAGTTTTGAAACTTTTATTAAGAGTTTCAAAACTTTTTTAAAGTTTCGAAACTTTGCACCCAAAAATTGTTTTAATGACCCGATTTTCTTCAACGATCATATTTTTAAGTAAGAGTTTCGAAACTTTCATCAAAATTTCAAAACTGCATGTGCAGGTGGCCTTTATTGCATGTTTTTAAAGCTTCCCAACGACTATAACTCATCCCCAACGATTTATAAATGGCTAGCAACTGATTCCACGCAATAAAAATACTCCAAGGACACTTGAAGAAGATTACTACACCTATCCAAGCTTAAAGATCGAGAGAAAAGAGTTTTTCATTCTTATTTTTCATTTTCTCTTGTATATAGTGTATTGAGCCTTGTTGAATATCTTTATATTCATTATTTGTGAGCTTAAACATTTGTAAACACCTACCTAGTGAGATATTCTTGTTTACCAAATCAAACATTGTAAAAGGGAAGTGGTTCTAGTTTAACATTAGAAAAACTATAGAGCTGTAAAAGTTACACCTTATCCTTTAAAGGTAAGAACAAATTAGTAAATTTGTTAGAAAATCATTATTGTGAAGCTAAGGTAGTGGATGTAGACTTGGTTGATAAGTCGAACCACTATAAATCATTGTGCCAAATTTTTATCTTTTATTGCTTCCACTCCAAAGATTTTTAAAGGTCAATTCACCTCTCTTGGCGATTTTTGGTTGATTGTTTCGAGCCCAATAATTGGTATTAGAGCAAGTCACAATCAATGATTTAACAACCTTGTGAAGATCATAGAAGTGTTCTATCAATTTTGTATTAAACCGGAAAGATGGCTTCGACTTCCGACTCATTCTACATGGAGGACTCCCAACAGATCAACAAGTATCCATACTTCAATGGACCTAACTATGGTCATTGGAAGAACTTAATGAAGCTATTCATTCAATCCATTGATCTTGGAGCATGGGAGATGATCATGAATGGCTATTATTCTCCAACGAAGAAGATAAAGGAGTGGAGTGACCAAGAACGGAATAAATTTCAACAAAATGCCATGACCATGCACATTTTATTTTGTGCATTTGGTCCCAATATATATGAAGAAATTTCTTTATGTTCTAATGCCAAGGAGCTTTGAGATAAGCTTGAAGAATTACATGGTGATAAGAAAGAAGAACCATCAAGTTCAATCCTCATCTCACATCCAAATGTGGTGTGCTTTATGGCTCTTGAAGAGCCTAAGGTATCTTATAACTCTAGTGAATTTTATTCATATTATTTTAATGAGTTACAAGATGTTTATGATGAATTGTATTTGGAATTTGAGACCATGAATTCCAAATATAAGAAATTGATTTCAAATTTTAAAATTGAAAATGATTTGGTTTTGAAAAACAAAATGAAGTTTTAAAAAATGATTTTGTGCTTTCAAAAATCAAAATCAATGACTTAGAAAAGGAAAATTCTCAAAGTTAAGCTTGAAAGTTTAACAAAAGAAAAAAGAATTAATTTCTCAAAATAATTCATCATGTTTAAAATGGCAAAATGCTCACATTGTCATTTCCTTGGTCACATGGAACATACTTATCCTTTAAAGCTTAGAAAACATTTTAAAATTAGACAAGTATAGGTTCTTAAGGGAACAAGGGACATTAGCACTAACAATCAAGGATCCAAAGCAATTTGGATACCAAAATCCAAATAAATGTCTCTTGTAGATGTGTGGGAGCAATTGTGACAAAAGTGAAGAAATTCAAATGTTCTAGCCACACAAGATAAGGAATGGGTAATCTTTTGCCTTGAAATGTTTTTGATTTTGTCTATTGGTTACCTATCTTGTTTTATGCATGCATGCGTATTAAGCATGGATGATTACATATTGTTTGTTATCTCATGTATGTTGAAAATGTGTCATGATGGACATGTCTTAAAGTTAAATGTTTTTATCAATTTTTAGTTAATCATAATTTTTTTTGGTAAAGTTATATTTTTATGTTTTAAATGTTTTTTCAATACTTTGACCTTAATGTGTGCTTTCATGGAAACCCATTTTCAAAACAAGTGATGTCCTTAATTTATTGAATATTTTTAACATTTGGAATCACTTTAAGCTTATGATGTCAAGCTTGATAATGTTTTGAAATCTCTTTTAATTGGTATCATTTAAATGATGCATATGTAAGAAAATTTTAAATATTTTTCTTAAATTTTCATATGCCTTATTTGACATCCTCCATACCTAAAATTGGTATTATATATTTTTTTCAAATATCAATTAGTATAAGATTTTATTTACATAATTAGTATTCTATGAGTTTTATCTTTAAAAGTTTTCTTGGGATGTCTAAGTAAAAAGGAGTCATAGAAGATGATTTTAATAGATTTGCATGAATGCAAATCTAAATCACGCAAAATGTGATTTATGAAATATATTTTTCTATTGCATGATTATATAGTAATTAGTTTGAATACTCATCAAATGATTTTAAATGTTTGGATCTTGATATTTTGATGAAATTCATTCTTTTACTTTGCATATTTGCATACAACTCTTTCATCTTTAATTTGCAAATGAAAATTGTTATATGTTCATGCATATGCTTTCATTAACAATTGGTATACATATTAAATGCATGATATTATGTAGTGCTTTATGCATATGACATTCAATATATCATTTTTAATTATCGCATAAAGTATAACAAGTGTTGAAACATTTTGATATTTCGATATAACAAATTAAGTTAAATGGATTTTAAGATTTTCCAAATGATTTTCTAAGTATATTCGATATAACTATTCGAATATCAAAACATTACTCCAAATATTTCAAAAATCATTTTTAATCCTTACTTAAGTGTAAAATTAAGTTTTAATCATAAAACAATTTCAAAATAATTTTACAAAGTATTTCGAACCAATTCAAAGCCAAAAATTCCAGATTGCTCATAGGGAACCGATTCCCCCCCATAGGAGGAACCGATTCCCCCCTGAATGGTTTGGCTCCGAGATTTCCAGAATGCTCGGAGGGAACCGATTCCCCCATAGGGGGAACCGATTCCCCCCTAAACAGTTTTGTTCCGAGAATTCCAGTATGCTCGGAGGGAACCGATCCCCCCAAGGGGGTACCGATTCCCCCTTGTACAACGGTCGAAATATTTGAATTTTACACTTAGGAACCGATTCCCTTCAAGGGGGAACCGATTCCCCCCACACTCCAAGCTGTTTTATTAAATGTTTTCACACTAAAACGGCTATAATCATCCCCAACGTTCAGAAGTGATCCAAGGTGTATTTAAGCAAGCTTAGAAGCCATTGATCAAAAATAAGAAACATCAAGCAACTAGAATCAAGAGAGAATCAAAGAGAAAGCATCAAACCTCAAGTTTGAGCATTTCAAGCCTATTTTCATTCAATATTCATTTTGCTTTCAAGAACACTTTTTGTGCTCAATTGTATTCATCTTTGAGTGTTCTTTTCTTTGTTCTAGAATTGTGCAAACATCTTACCTTGTGAGGTTTTCTTGTAAGTTTGCAAATTTGTAATATTCTCTTTGGGAAAAAGAGTGTTCTCAAGAGTTGGGGTATACTCTTGAGGGTATTGTAAGGTTATCTCTTTGGCCTCAAAAGAAAGAACAAATTAGTGAATTTGTTGGAAAATCCTTAGTGTGGATAGCTAAGGTAGTGGACGTAGACTTTATTTGAGAAAGTCGAACCACTGTAAATCGCTGTGCAATTACTTTTAATTTTCTGCAAAAG